AGGACGGCCTCCCCCGCTCCGGCCAAACCCCCCCCCTCCCAGCCCCAAAGCAGGGAGGCCGCGGTCAAAGGCCGGCCGGGCCCGCCGCTCGCCAAGCCAGCGGCGGGGGCCCCGGGCCCCCGGCAGGTCCCGGGGCGCCCCAACGGCCCCCCCACCACCAGCAAAGCCAATCAGAAAGCGGCAACGACCACAGCGGCGGCGTCCACGCAGCGGGTTGGCCGCAGACAAACACCGGCGGCCAACCCGAGGCCGGCGCCGAAGGCGGGGCCGGCCGCCCCCCCGCAGAGGGGCGGGGCCGAGGCCCAGAGGATCCAAAGGAAGAAGGGCCCCCCCGGGGAGGAGCCCTACTTCGAGATGACCTGCAAGAGGAGGCAGAAGACGTAGCCGAGCGGCCGGAGGCAGCTCGAACTAACACGACTAAACTCCCGTTTCTCCTGTTATTTAATAGTTTATTTTTTTAATCCAGATGGGTCAAAGACGCTCTGCCGTCTCCTCTTCAGAGATCAACCCCACCACTTGCACAATGTTTACCTGGTCTGTGACATTTACAGCCCGGGAGAGTTAGTTTTTTTTCTTCCTTTTTCTAGAAACATCATGATCTAGTACTAACCCCGGCTGTTTTGTTTTTTTTGTTTTACCTACACAACCTGTTTATTTAAGAAAGATAAATGAATCAATAATAATCCACTTTTACAAGCAAGGGGTAGGGGAGGATGTTTTCCATCCAGCCAAAAGGGGTTTGAACGCCTTTCGGGTGACCAAAGTAAAAGCTGGAGCCCCCCCGGTCCCCCCCCCCCCGTCACTGTGAGGGCTCTCCTGTCCTGTGCCTTCATCAGAAAGCCCTCTTTTCTGAGCGGCATTAGAATGTACTAGATTATTGAGATTAAACGGTTGAGTCGGTGGAGGACGGAAACAAAAAAAAAATTGCACGCCGTCCACGAGCACTTGTGACTCTCCTCATCAGAAGCTACTGATCAAATGCCTCTTTTTCCCTTTAAAATGCATCACTTTAGAGCAGAATCTACTTGGTGTGGACCTTTTTTTTTAAATATGGTTTCTAATTTTATTTGTATGTGGAAAATCTA